GCATAGTACTTTGCAGCATAGCCAGCACAGACTGTTCATTCAGTCTGCACAGCCAGTCGGAGATTATGTGATTTTCATGCCAGCCAGATCTCCCTGTGTCATAGTGTGATTGATGTTATATATTTTTGGTGATTTTATGGTGATGGGAAGGCAGTAAATACCAGTATTTACGTCTTCCCGTTCTCTCCTGTATTTTCGGTGTAGATATAGGGAGTAGGCCCTCACGTAGATCACGGCCTACATTGCAGGTGCTCAATCACTCTTCGAGATCTATCGTTTGAAATTTATTGGCCCATTCTGTGCGATTTTTCAGCAGCAATTACTCGCATAAACGGCAATGGATAACATGTCGGTGCAGCATTGTTAGCTGCGTGTTAATCCGACATTAGTCATCTCCTGCTTGACCCATTGTCGCCAAAAATTTTTATCCCAGTCTGCTAGCTTTTAAAGCTGAAGTCCCATAGCTTCTAGGCTTCTAGTACCCGGTTTTCCTAGATTTAGTACTTGTAAATGCACGCCTGTATATTCGAATAAGAACTTCAATAATGGCACAGCATTCTGATTATGTAAACTCAAAAACTAAAAATTCGGAACGTTTTACGTCACGAACCGGTGAGCCGCGAACGACGGCAAACGACGGTCGCTAATAGGTACTTGTATCTGTACAGATTTAGCTTTTTTCTGGCCTACCAACGCATAACGCAGTAATCTAGACCGAGGAGAAAGATGGAAGATTCCTTTCGGAATGGGTTTAGTGACTTGAGAAGGTTAACGGGCCACCCGGCTATTGCTCAACGACCTTTCAGCAACAGGATTCGCTGCAGCCCGGTTGCTTAATATTGTCTATATCAGCGCCGTCCAGTGCAGTCTGACAAGTGGATTTTTCTGCTATAAATAAATTCCAAACTGATTGCCATTGATGTCACCAGTTAACATTCATAATCAATTGATCCATTGACTGGAATAATCAATTGATCCATTGAGTGAAATCTAAATAACGGTTCTTTTTACGTATATTCTGCCGTCGTAACTAATATTGTACTCCATACCACGAATCACTGCAAATGGATGTGTCTAATTAGCCAACAATGCCAATATTCTCTAAATCTTCCACTGGTAGCGAGAAAGACGATGGTTACGTCAAGCGACCCATGAATGCCTTCCTGGTATGGTCACGGGGGCAACGCCGCAAATTAGCCCAGGAAAATCCCAAAATGCACAACTCCGAGATCAGCAAGCGCTTAGGTAAGACGAAAGACCTATTAACATGAATACTCTGTGATTTTTTAGATGAAGTTGCGTTTAAATGCATCACTAGCATACCGAAGTTCAACTGCAGTAGTGTGTGGTTCTTGTCCATAACAAAGTTTATGTGATTGTAGTAGCTGATAACTGAATTGGTTTTAATTTGCTGACATAGGTATTCCGTATTTATGTCTGTCGTTTTCTACAGCAACACCCCGATTACAAGTACCGACCACGACGCAAGCCAAAGACCCTGCTGAAGAACGTCCGCCCGCAGTTGCCCACCGGTGTCCCTGTGGTGATCCATATGGACCATATCGTCCTTTCATGTCACAAATGTCGGCCGTAAATGAGATGGGAAAAACTCGCGCTTTCCACCCACACGGCAGTCCATACAGCAGTAATTTCTATCCAGCAGCCAGTCATGAAATGGCTGAACTCCCGGAAAATGCCGCCGTTAATGAGATGGGAAAAGCCCGCGCTTTCAACCCACACAGGAGTCCTTACACCAGTAATTTTTATTCAGCAGCCAGCAATCAAATGGCTAAAATGTCAGAAACTGGCGCCACATTGGCAGCACCATGGTGACCGGGGTGAACGCCGCTGCGGCGGTCAATCCAGCGCTGTATTCACCCCAGTTCTACTATAATCCTGCTGCCATGTCCGCTTATTCACATCCGGGTACGCAGGCCAGCGATGCTGGGGCGCAAGCCAGCAGTGGACATCCGATGGGGGCCAGCACGGCAGCTGCGACCGCAGCCACGAACATCAAGTACGACATGAACGAGAGCCTCCGACGAACGGTGCCATATGTCTTTCCTGGACAGTATCTCGGCGATCGACCATAGGCAGCTCTGGATTATCCGCAAGTGCAGTATGCAGACAAATGTGGCCGGCGTATTCTTCCTGCAATAACGTTTCGAATGGGATTAAAGCATAACTGTGAGATTTAATTAAGCGAACTATTCTTTTTCTGATGGCTTGTACACTCACATCAGCTGCATTTTTTTGAGTGCGCATTATGTTTGATTTGTGGGATTGGTGAAAGAAGCTCTGGCACATCTCTTGTTATGGTGGCATTTTCCTTGTGGATTCCTTTTCTTGGTCACAGCGATTATTCGACGTGTCATCGACATGTTCAGCGTTAATACCGAAAAAAACAGCCGCTTTGTCATCGATTGAAACGATACTTGACATGCCGTCAGGTCGAACTGCCGCACTTAGGACCGTCGATTCCAGTTGACATGGGAATACTGCACTTTCGCAGCAGATTTTAGAGGTTTAGTTACATTTACAGAAATTTTCAACCGTGTTTTGCTGTGTACTTCTGTAAGTAAGTACCGTACTTCGCAGCTGTATTTAAACTCACAATCAGTTGTTTTCCCAAAAACGGTTGAAAAACCGGCTTTTTTGCGTTTTCTGCAACGGCCATTTGATGTACAGCATTGCTTTTAAATCTTTTTCAGTTAAATTAAAGTTTTTTGGCTTTTAAAAAGTCTGCAAGGTTAATAAAACAGTTGGAAAACGTATAATCTGATAGAATCCGTTACGTTTGTATTTGGTTCGATCTGTACTTATTAGTTTCAAGAGTCATCTTCGGCTTCGCCTCAGATGCTCTTGTGGTCTCCAACCATTTCCTTGAAAAATAATTCTTGTTCATTTATTTTTGAAGCCTGGTTTGTGTGTATGTTTTTGCACTGTATGATTAGGCGCTGTTCACTACTTCGGTTAGCTTGATCTAATCAGGAAACATCATTATTCTATAGCTGATCGGTTCATTTTATGTGAAGCAAAATGGTTAGTAACACGACTAATAATCGCAGAGCGGCCAGAGGTGCTAAGTTTCTAATAATTCTGCTTCGCTACTTCTTAAAGAAAGGTACGTGGAAACCAATTTTGATCGAGGACAATAATACCCTTTGTTCAGTAACCAGTATTCTTGATCGGTAGATACAGTAGTGTGAATTTTTGGATAATTCCATTCATTCAGTCGGCTGCAATAAGGAGTGTGTAGTGATAACGAGCAACAGAGATCACGTGTCCTAATCACCGAACATTAGTAACCGCAATGGCGGGTCCGTAATTTCCGTTTACGCAGCAGCCCTGATTAGGGGTCCCTAAACACTGGTATGACCTGTGGGTTGGCTCTTTCTGAATTTCGATTGTTTCCGGATAACTGTTTCCAAAAAAGTTTTTGACAGAGATTTTAAGCATCTAATGGCGTTTGCATTTTGCGTTTTTAGTACGTACATGGGATGTCGTTCTACCCGGTACTAGGTAGTTAAAAATTTTTGTTTATTGGCAATCGCCACCAACAAAACAAAAACTAGCCCTCGCGGTCACACTGTTTGTGGTAAGGGGTTGTAAGGCCGGTGGTAAATTGAGGATCTCGGACCATGGCGACCATTCCTTTTATTTAGTAGGATTGGTCGGCGGATAGACATGCCAGCTTCTGCACAGTTCTGTTCGTTTGACAGCTGGAGCATTAGCGTTCTGCTGGACAATGATAACGGTTCTGCTCTTATCAGCTGGTCTAAGCCAGTAACGCTAAGATAATACCCCTTCCCTGTTCAGCTTCCGTTCACTCTACAGGCCTGATCGACGGTCAGTGTCGGCCTTTGCGCGGTTCTGTTCATTCGGCAGCTCAAGAACTTTGTTAGCATCGAACAGTGGGTACTGGGCAAGGGTTCCGTTGGGTTCCGTTCTCATATGCCGGTCTGGTCCGTGAGTTTTTCATTGTATAGGAAAACTCACGGTCAGTAAACTTTCGCTTGCAAACTATGGTTAGACACTGCCTGTTTTTTCACTACCACCGAGTGGACGAAGTGCGAATTCGTCTCTACGTGATATGTAAAGGAACTATGCAGGTAAATAGGAATAATCTCAAATATCCCAAATTTGCATGAACACGCGTGAGTATAGTATGAGTATTAAGATCGTTTTACACCGAAACCACTTTTTTGGTACTTAACTAAATTTTAAATTTTATGGTTATTGCAGATCTAAGTGTTTTGTGATGCACAGAGAACAATGTATGAGTACGTGGAAAAGCTAAAAAGTTCCAGTGCAAAAGCGCTTTCCGGTTCCGTAAACCAGAAGAAAATTTCTTCGCTTTAGAGCGTTTTGTTGAAACGTGACAAAGTTGAAAAATTTTCGAAGTTTAATTGGAAGTACAGTTTTTTTATTACATTTTTTTTATTACACTACATACTCTGCATTTGAATATTAGCTACCCCACGCAGCAGTGTTTTATGTAAAAGGTCTTTCAAGGTCACCTTGAACTGAGGCCTGTACCGAAACCGGCATCCGGGCGATGGTCCAGGGCAGATATTTTTGAAAACAAAATGCATGTGGGACCCTTTTGGGACATGCTGAGTTTAATGGTGAAATCGGTTTTTTAGTTTGTTTAGCGGTTTTTTCAAGCCAAGCTCCACGGGGCGGCCGATCATAATATAGATCTGTTTCCTTGATATAGTCAGTAAGTGCGGTATTGATGCTGTTTTATTTTGATAAGACGGTGTCGACTGTAATCCTAATGTCTGGAAGTCTAATTAAATTTATCAGAACAAGCGCTTCGACACTAGATGACCGGCAGATTACTAACGACGATTTGCTTGTCACCGACCAGCACCTCTTGTCGCTAACGCACACAGAAATATTATTGTGCCCGCGGTTGCACTTTTTGTAGTTTTGGCGGCTATTGCCCAATAAAATAATAAACCTCCAGTTTCACTGCAAAGTTAATAATCTTTTCTGCATCAAGTATTATACCATCAAAAGTCAATTCCAAAAACGAAAGCCACACCACCACCAAGTTTAGCAAAAGAAAAGTTGATGCAATCTTGCGCAGAAAAAGCAAGGAACATACTAAAAATCATTAATAATCAAGGCAATAAGAAATTAAGAAACGTTATTTACTATTATTCCCAAGGCTGTCCTGCATTCTGTATCTTCAGCATCCCCTCTGTCGCAGAACAAGATGAACGGTAGAATGAGCGGTAATACCGTTGTCGGCTAAAGTCTGTCCATCCTCCATCTGTTGACCGGCAAAAATCAGTCGCTGCTGATCCGGAGGAATGCCTTCCATGTCATGAATCCGGCATTTCAACTGGCACACCCAATAGCCCAAATTCACCGCCACGGTGAGTGTCTTCCCCGTCAAGGTCATAACGAAGACAGTGGTATCGGGCACTAAACGCGTCGGATAGATGACGTTCTTCCACAACGCCGGCTTGCTGGCAATCAGATTCTTCACCTCGTCCAGCGTCCAGCGCGCGGCCGGTGAATGCAGGATGCGCAGCACAATCACCAGACAGCAAAGGATCATTCGCCCGCCCAACTCCTTAGGATCGGCGTGGTCGCGGATAAGACGGACAGCTTCCAGGACGGGGATCTGCTCCAGATTGACGCCATCCGGCTGGCACAAGCGCTCCACAAACGCCACCTGCGTCCACAATATAACTCGTCCAATTTCCCAGTTCAACGCCAACTTCATCAGCTCGTACAGGACAAACGGATTGGTTCGGTGTGCGTCGATAGGCAGGGATTCGTGATTCGTTCCGGCCACGTCTAAAATTGTCTGAACGGCTTCCAGACTGTAATCCAATTCGTAGTAAGTGATTTTTCCTTGCTTTCTTGCAGCGAAGATACCACGCGCTTTTGGGGATACGCTAACCTAGGGACGATGCGCGAACGTTCAGGACCTTGACATTCACAACATAGTTCATAAATTTAAAAGATTAAATTTAATTTAAAAAATTAAAATTAAAAAAATATAAAAAATTTATTATTTTAAATTACGAATTATGTGAAACGTAGTGGATTTAACCTCCACAACGAGTATTAACTAGCGAGTGACTAACCAGAATCTGCCGATCGGTCTCTATCTGGCCGTCTCGCATCTTCAGCAGCACCTTATCCGTTCCGTTCCATCCATCCCCATCCTGGATTGCCGGACACTGCGGAATGGTCTTTCGGAAGGCGGTGAGCATTTCTCCCAGCAAGCGCTCCAGCGGCACCCGCATGGTGACGTAACAGTAGGCTTCACGAAAGATACCCAGCTCCTGGCAGCATTCCGAGTACGTCTGACCCTGGATGTCCCGAAGGTTCCTGTTTATGCAATTGATGTTGGTGGTGTGGGTCGCCGGCATTTTAACCTGAACGGAGGGACTTCCGCAATTGTCCGGATTAATGAAAGCCAGCTGCACCTCCGTCAGGATGCAGCCGTCCGGAATGTGCTGCAGTTGGACCGTGGCACGCCACGGAACCTCGAAACCACGTTTCGACTTGTCGCCGGAGGAGTGCAGTTGTTTGGTCGCCACCTTATCCTCAACTGCAAAGCATCAGTAGTCAGTTTGAATCGAAAGTAATGCGCTTGGAAAATCGATGGTGGTAACGATAGGGAACCATCAGGCAAAACCAGGTAATAACTTACAGAAAACTTGCAGTCTGACGCCGTTTTCCAGCCACAATGGCAAAGGGACAACACTGCCGCCAGTCTCAGCCACACGAACGCCTTCCAGTTTCCCTGGCCCATAGTCATTGAAAGCCCGCGATCTCAAGTCCTGCAGTTCCTTCCGAAAGGTGTACTTCACGCAGCACACGATGACATCGTCGTCCGTCCCGTTGGTGCTGGCCAGTTGATGGTGAGTCAGGAAGTCCAAAATTCCCGTTTCCATCTGGCGCTGTTCATCCAGACGCTCCCGTGGCTGTGAGGGTACGCTGCCGGATACAGGAGCCAATTGAGTCGGAGTACTGCCGTGCTGAGCCAGGACGTTTCGAGTTGAGCTTCCCACAGCACTAGTTTGCTTCTGCACTCCCTTGCCGTCCATTTTTTCGTCAATGGAGAAACTAATCAAAAGCAACGAAATGCAGTTAGAAAGTCGAGGAACGGGCTATTAACAGTTTAATAGGCTGCTGTACTGCACCGAAATGAAGACCTCACTGACCATATCTGTTGTGGCTGACAACTTACACGCAATTGAACTATCTGTACTCTGCAGAGTGTAGGCAAATTTAGACAACAGCAAATCTGCAACAGTTATCAGTTAGAGCTCCTTAAAGCAGCAAGAAGATGCTTAGATTGTGGCCAGGAATACCCAGCATTAACATTTACTCGCACAGAAGTAATGCTCAGGACTGTGCTCATAAACTGATAGCAGTTAGTTCGCCGAGCACCACTAAACTAACTAATTTTATCATGCTCGAACGCCAGACTCAGATCGCGCTCGGTAACGACAAGCAAAAGGTGGGAGTAGTAGAGGAAAGCCGACAGCGTAAACCGCTTCGCCTTACAGCAATAGCGAGCGCACTCGCAAATGGTGGCCGAAACGGGTCAGACAATCAGTCTCCGGTTCCTCAGACCGAACTCAATGCACAATTATTGATTCATCAGGATCCGGAACAAGATTGTCTGACCCGCTTTGTCCGCCATACGCGGCAACAGTAGCATAGGCCCCAGGGTGAGCGCGCTGAGCTGATACGCTGTCCTGTATAACTTACAAGTCCTTTTTGCCTTCTGCAATGCCAGCGTCGGCAGCGTGAATATTAGTTCTTTGGTGTCGCGCTTAAAATCTCAATCTTATATCACCAATCATCATCACTCAGTTAAAGTGCTCGTTTCCTTTACTTCTATTTCACATGTTTCTTCTAAGACTCCCTTCAATTTTTCTGCGCATTCCGATCCACAAATAAGACAGGGAATTCATAGGCTAGAAGTCTGGAACGTCTGGGTGACAAGGGAACCATCAGTGTACGGATACGCGCGTTTGATTTTTTTATGAAACCTAACTATCGCTGTAGCTGTATAAAGGTGCGCATGCCGTTTCACTTTTAGTCCCGATCAACAAACGAGCGATAAGTAATGGCCGGCAACGGGATGGAAACGCCGTTCGATGTCGTGGGGAATGGCTACACGATCCGGCATTCCACGGAGCACCATGTCGTCCTGCAAAGCGTCAGCCCGTTTAATGTACCGGACATCATGCCAGCGTACCCTGCGCGCGACAGCGCAAACGCTCCGCACAATCGGCATCGTCTGGCTGAACAGCGGCAGCTGGAAACGGGAGTGCTGGACTTGCTGACACATTACCAACTGGCCAACATGGAATCGGGGGTGACGGATGACAAAGTCGTGACGTGTCGCGCTATGTACACTTTCCAGAAGGATCTTCAGCACCTGCAGTCGACAGCGTGGAATGATTACGGTCAGGGTGCCCTGCAGCGCGTTCGTGAGGCATGGACGGGTCACGAAATTTCTCCCTTGCCAACTTGGCTGGAGAATGGCGTGGGACTGCAAGTGTATTGTAAGTGTTTGAAGTAGCTTTGTGTACAACGGCTTCCCAATGCTCCAAAGACAGAGCAATGAAATCCCAGTGCAATGATACATCCAGTTGGAATCGTTCCGGGTAGCTGCAGACACATATGTATTTCCCGAAACATCGTACACTACTTATCTCCACAAAAAATTCCCGTAGTTTTAAATGAAAGTTTGAAGAAGAAATTTAGCGTTTTAACTTTCAACGAGTCAACTCGGAAATCTCGATATTACAAATGTGAATTCCAGCTGGCAACAATCACCAGTAATAGCAGCTTCTCACTCTGTAGGTGGAGTAAGAAATCCTTTAATTCGCTCTCTTCCCTCTTATCACGTATGCAATGCTGCTTTAGCGAATCCCACTGATGTTTTCATTGTGTTGTAGTCGAGAAAAAGGTGGCGACGAACCGTGCGCACTCTTCCAGTGACAAATCGAAGCGGGGCTTTGAGATTCCGTGGGTGGCTGCGATCCATCTGCAACGCGCAGCGGACGACTGTACCCTGACGTCCGTGCAGCTGGCCTTCATCAACCCGGACTACTACGGAAGCCCCACTGTCTACATCAACATGGCACCGACCCATGCCACCAATATGGGCTGCATCAACAATATCCTGAAGAACATCCGTGGTCAGACGTACTCGGAGTGCTGCCAGGAACTGGGCATCTTCCGCGAAGCTTACTGTTTCGTCACCATGCGGGTGCCGTTGCGGCGCTTGCTGGGACAAGTGGTCACTGCATTCCGGCTGACCTTCGCGGATTGCCAGGCACTCCCGGACACGAGCGAGCTGGCCGTGTGGGGAACGGATAAGGTCGTGCTGAAAACACGACAGGGTGACGTCAAGACAGATCGCCAAGCCCTGGTTCGTGCACGATTGAACGATTTAAAAACATCTGTTCGCAATTTTTTCAGCAACATTTCAGCTCTTCGGCGTTGAAACCGTTGAATTTAAAACAATTTGCTTTGCCTTTTCTAAATTTTGGTAACTGCTTTTCGTCAGATTCTTATTATTTGTTGCCGAAGATTTTCTTCTTCGAAATTTATGATAATACATGTGTTGATATATACTGAGAATTAGCTCGTTTGATTTTGATACAAATTTGATCGACGTCTGAAATTTTAAACCTTGAAAGTCGGGACTTCGACTCTAGGTTCGTATATCCTCGAAAATGCGAGCCATCTTCTCAACAAGCGGGCAGGGTAAATTCAGCTCCTACGAAGTGGACTATAACAAGGCGGTCGTGGTGAGCGTTTTGCATGCGGCAATGGCAGGACACGCATCCCTGCCACTTAATCCGCAGCGAGCGACTGTGTTGTACCTGTACGAGGCAATGAAGCTGGCGTTGAGCTGGGAGATTCCGCAGCTGACACTGTGGACGCAGTTGGCGCTGGTGGAGCGCTTGTGCCAGCCGATGGCCAGTCTGGAAGCGATCCCCGTTCGAGATGCAGTCCGTCTCATATGCGACCAGGCCGACCCCCAAGCAGTGGGCAGCCGGATGATTGTGTGCGGATTGGTCAGTATGCTGCGCATCTTGCATTCAGAAACGGCGCGCTGGACTCTGGATGAACTGATGGCGTTAATTGCCGGTAAGGCTATCATGTAAATGGCTGACATTGTTGCTGACATGGTTGCTTTGAGTCGTCTTTAATCCAACGGCAAGCGAGACTGCGCTGAAATTATTTTTATTTCTTCATTTGAATGGAAAACGAAAACTAACTGAAGTGTGCTCTAACAGCAAACGTTTCGTTACTTGTCTCTGCTTTTAGTACGAGTATAAAGTGGAAATACTACGATAAACACTATTAGAGACACTTTCTCTCTTTGAAACTATATTAGAAGCGCTAGGCTGCAATGACAGACCATTTCGCGCGCAAGCTTCAGGAGGTTTTACGTTCAGTGAATTCGGTTCGTCTGAGACTCTGAATGAGATATGACTTTAAAAAGCACTTGTATTTGTGATAAGCAACACCGCACTCACTTGCAGACTGCAGTGGTCTTGTGTGCCAGAATACGGCTTTCTAATATTGTATCAATAAAAGACACCATAACTTACGTGTTATCTTGTTAATAATGCCTTTACCGAAATATTTATCAAACGGTATGTACAGGATGCGTTGAAAAGTGTAATTCACATTCCACAATTTGTAGGGAAGCCGGAATTGTGGAAGAGTGTCATTCAGCCGCCGCGGTTGGTGCCCGATACCAGCATTGTGGTTAGAACTATGTTCGGTAGAACCTTTACGGTGGCGGTTAATTTGGCCAATTGGGTGTACCAGTTGAAATGCCGGATCCAGGTCATGCAAGGTATTCCCATGGAACAGCAGCGACTGGTTTTTGATGGCACACAGCTGAGCGATAACTTGACCTTAGCCGACTACGGGATTAATGCAAATAGCACAGTACAGCTTGCATTGCGGCTGAGGGGCTGCTGATGGATGGCGCTTAGCCTGATGAATGGATGTTGTAGACTTTTAAGTTTTTAACGACGCTGGTACTTCAGATCAGTAAAATTTTCTCGTTATCGTCTTTTTGAGAACTACCTTATGTTTCCTGTTTCGCAAGCTGTTTTGGTTTCCTTAAGGATTTTGATTTCATTTTTGCAATCGAGATTCACGGATACAGTGAAACTTCTCTACTACGTACACCCTCCGTTCCTAGCTTCCTGAACGTTACAAAGGGGTGTACGTAAGGTAGGGGCACTGCCCCTAGGGGCGAATAATAACGCCCCCCAGGGGTAGATATATATTTGTGTGTAGCAACCGGAGGCGGCGCCGTGTATGTTTTGGAATGTAAAATGACTTCTCTAATTTGACGGCGTTAACGCTTTTGAGCTTTTTCTCCCATAAAAAACTCTGACGCTTACTTTTCGCGTCCATTTTTAAACAGCTGCTGTAACTGACAGGTAAGCTCCCAAATACGTACGACGTAAATGTTGTTTTTTATCGTTTCGCTGTTTTTCATCACAAGATCCGGCGTTGGGCAGACTTAAAACTAAAAGCCTAAAAGCCGAAGATTTCTTTGAAATTGTTGTTTCTCATTCTTAGCCAGCTGTACGTAACGCAGGGGTTGAATGTACCTTAAATTTGGTCTGACGTTCCATGATAGATGTACGTTATACTTGAAGAGGGGTGAACGTTATAAAGAGAACTGCGCCTGTGTTATAATATGCCGGACAGTCCGGTTCCCAGCCATATGCACATAATGAAGGGATGAACGTTATAAAAGGGTGCACGTTACGAGGGGTTTCACTGTAGTGATACGTTGCTTGATTCAAACGATAATCATGTTACGACGTTTTAAAGTAACTGTGCTTTACTGTTATCTTGTATCTTGGAAGTTTAATCTCTTTGCAAAACATTCTTTAATCTCAGAAAAAGTGAAACCTTTCGGGAAAAGGGATTTACGCTTCATTCAGTCCTGAACCGTCCGGGAAAGTCTTTTAGTTCCCGTCCGGGAAAGTCTTTTAGCAGTACTAGCATAAACGTGCACACTGCATTAACGTGCGGCGGTGTTGAGATAATTTACTGGATCTGTAGCTGCACAAATCTGTTCATGCAGTTCCTCTCTTAGTTCCGCTCAACTGACGAACGAAAGCAACGGCCGACGACGGGATGGAGAAGTCATTCGATATTGTGGGGAATGGCTACACGATCCAGCATTCGACGGAGTACCACCTGACCCTTCACAGCATCAGCCGAATGAATGCTGCACTGATCGTGCCATCGCTCCCGGACAGCAGCAGCGGGCCTTCACTGCAGCATCCGCAACGCCTTGCTGCTCAGCGGGAGATTGAAACGGGAGCGTTGGACTTGCTGACCCATTACCAAATGGCCAACATGGAGTCACGGGTGCTGGCTGATGCTGCAGTGACGTGCCGTGCCATATACACTTTCCGGAAGGATCTTCAGGATCTGCAGTCGACGGCATGGAATGATTACGGTCAGGGACGCTGCAACGCGTACGTGTGTCACGGACTGGCCGTGAAATTTCTCCCTTGCCAGCCTGGCTGGAGAATGGCGTGGGACTGCGAGTGTACTGTAAGTAATTGAGAAATTCAACCTACAGTAGTGTAAGCCGTGATTGGTTGGCCGCCACACAGTCCCATTTTAATCCGTTGCAAACTTGCAGTGCCCTGTTTAGGGTAAATCTTACTACATATTCCATAATGTCTTACTCCATAATCAAGGTGGAACAAAAAGTTTCTCTTGAAATAATCGGTAGCTTTTCAATCAGAGTTTTGCATAAGAAAAAAGGTTTTCGCCGGAACCACCAACACAGAATTTTGAAAAATTTTCTGAATTGGGGGTCCCCGCGGGACTAACTCGATCCTTAGCCTGCGAGGAACTGAAATGGTTCTAACATCGATTATAATTTCAATCATGAATCCATTATTGGAATAAGAAACTTTTGGGAGGGCTGGAGTGGGCTCGAGAAGCCATGCCCACCATCCCGTCCCCGTAACTCGGACGGCACAAAAATTCGCAAGGGTGGGGGCGGGGGGACATTGAGATTTTTTTACGACGGGGTTCACAAAAAATCGAGAATATAGTATCCTTGGTGTCCTTCCCCTCCCCGACAACCCCTGGCTTCGCGGTTCCCCTGTATGAACTATGAAGATCATGTACTGAAATGTTTTGCAGTTCAAGAAAAGGTTTTGACAAACCGGCAGCACTCATCCTCTTTAAAGCGGGGTTTCGAGGTGCCATGGCGGGCCACGCTGCACTTGCAGCGCGCTGCGGATGACTGCATCCTGACGGAAGTGCAGCTGGCTTTCATTAATCGGGATGGCTGCGGCATCCCCACTGTTAAGATCAACATGGCGCCCACCCATGCCACCAACATGGGCTGCATCAACAACATACTACCAAACATCCGCGGGCAGACATATTCCGAATGCTGCCAAGAACTGGGCATTTTCCGTGAAGCCTACTGTTTCGTCACCATGCGGGTGCCGTTGCGGCGACTGCTGGGAGAAATGCTCAGTGCGTTTCGGCTGAGCATCTCGGAATGTCTGACGCTGGCCGACGTGGTTGACTGGAAAGGAGCGGATAATGTGATGCTGAAGACCCAGCAGGGAGTCATTGAGATGGATCGACACATTCTGGTGCGTGTCGGGTTCATCGTCCAGGACATTTTTTTTCGCTTTGACATCCCAGTATACTTTATTACTTAAGCTAGATAATTTCTTCATGAAGAAAACGCGCTCGTTTAATTCTGACGCTCGAGAAGAAGCTCGTTTAATTCTGGCTTGATTTTGGTTTGATATTTGAAATCTGAAGTTTGGTTTCGACCTTAGGTTGGTATTTCTGCAAACACGCGAGCCATTTTCGCTGGGGGCCTGCATGGAAAAGTCAGTTCGTACAATCTAGCCTACAGCTAAGCTGCTGTCGTAACCGTGCTGGAGGCGGCCACGGTGGGGCACGCATCCTTGCCCGTTGATCCCCGCCGAGCGGCTCCGTCCTTCCTGTTCGAGGTCATGCAGTTGGCGTTGAGCTGGGAAATTCCGCAGCTGCAACTGTGGACGCAGGTGGTGTTCGTGGAGCGCTTGTGCCATCCGATAGCCAGTTCCGAGCAGATGCCCGTTCTGGATGCGGTTCGCATAATCGGCGAGCATGCGGTTCCAAATGAAGTGGGCAGCCGTTTGGTGGTGTGCGGTTTCATTAGTGTTCTGCGTATCCTGCATTCCGAGACCGCGCGCTGGACGCTGGACGAGCTGATGGAGTTGATTGCAGGTTAGCCCAATGTTTGAACAGTTTTGCGTGTTCTTTAAAAGAAATCGCGGTGAAACTGATTAAAGACTGAAATCCGAAGCTCACGAAAGGTTTGAATTGAATTTTGTAGTTTGCAGGAAAGCCGGCAATGTGGAAGAACGTCATCCAGCCGACGCGATTGCAGCCGGATACCACGATTTTCGTAAAATCACTGATGGGGAAAATCCTGTCTGTGGAGGTGAATTCGGCCTATTGGGTGTATCAGTTGAAATGCCTCGTCCGGGACAGGGAAGGGGTTCAATTGGATCAGCAGCGACTGTTATATGCTGGCAAGCAGCTGCAGGACAACCTTACTTTAGCGGACTACAAAATAACCAGGCATTCGACAGTACATCTTGTTGTGCAAATTAAGGGGTTGCTAATGTAGGGTCAGCCCACGCTCGCTTTGGATGGCTAATTTTTTTTCTTTGTTTTCTTTCATAGAAATGTATTACGTCCCTGAATTTTTCATTAGAGTAATTTGTTTGAATTCCTTTTGATACTGGTTGCGTTTATGGACTGCATTTACCAGATTAAATAGTTGGCGGTAAATTTATAGTACCGCACTTACGATGTTTAAGAAAGCCGTTGCCGTACTTTGCTGATTTCTTCTTCTGCCGAACTAGCTGAAAGACGAAAAATATAATATGGCCATTCGCAGTTACGGTTTGGACTGCTTCGAGAACAGAGCTCGTATTTTAAAGTTTTAAGGTAGCGGCCGGTACATGGTATCAAACTTTGTGTATAGGCGCGAAAACATGCACTTTCGCGCACTCACAAACAGTTTTTTGCTTTGTTTTATGACATTCTGTGCTCCGATGTTTTTTGTACATTGGCGTGAAAAGCATTTGTGCGCGCAACAACCGGTTCCGGGAGCTATGACTGTAAAAAAATTCCAGAATGTTTAAACTTAAAATGCATTCAGATGTACCACAAGTCTCATTATGGGCCGATTTTCTTTAAACTTCGCATTTCAACGCACATATACGTCATTTTTAAGTCGAACCACGGTTCCGAGATTTTGTTTACGCTTTAAAATAAATTTTCGAAGTTATTGTAAAATTTAAAAAAATGCTGGAAATCTGGTTCGATGTAAAAACGATTTCCAGAGTTATGTTCCATTTATGTGCAATATTTCAAGAAGATCGGCTTATAATGAGACTCTTGGGGCACCTGAACACATATAGTATATCAAGTTTTTGAAGTTTTCAAAAAGCCACAGCTCCCGAACCGGATGTTCCGCGTACAAACGGCTTTAACGCAATCATTGCAGTGTATACATTTCATTTGATTACAGAACGTCGTAAACAATGTAAAAACATGTTTGAGAGTGCGCGAAAGTGAAAGTTTTCGTTTTGTACACGAATTTAGTACCATGCACCGTGTCCCTTCCCTTAACTTCGTTGGAGTACTACTCTAGTACTAATTCTCTGACGGCAAGAGCGATCTTGCAGAACGACTGCTGGTACAAGCGTCAGCCGACAATTTTGCGAAAACTTTTTAAGAAGACTATCTCCTCCCTTCCTTTATCCATGGTCTTTGGGGTTACTCGGAAGCAGCAAAGAATTTAAAATATGTCGCAGTGTTAGGCGCCGAGGGGCGTGCTTACTCCGTGCATACGTTTGGTTGTTCATGATCCGACGTTTACCGGTGTACGGTATAACAGAGTAGAATCTGAGTAGACTGTATGAGCCTCGTCAGTGTGTGCTGGGAGGATGGGTATCCGGCGCGCCTTC